AACGTGGACATCACGGAGTTCCAGACGAACCTGGTGCCGTACCCGCGCATCCACTTCATGCTCACGTCCTATGCTCCGGTCATCTCTGCCGAGAAGGCCTACCACGAGCAGCTGTCCGTGGCTGAGATCACGATGTCCGTTTTCGAGCCGGCTTCTATGATGGTCAAGTGCCTGGGACTTGTGCACTTGAGTTTAATGTGTTACGAGCTTCTGACATATGGAAGTTTATGGCAATCAGGGAGCCTCGTAGAAATCCTAAATGGTAGGGTCCTTACATAGGTACACCCAGTGGGAGCCCTGATTTCAAGAAGCAGTCATGTGTAACCGGACTAGAGATTCACATCAGAAGTGAGAGGCCTGCCATTTTCGATCCAATCAAATAACGTTCGGCATCCAATCAGGTGCGATCCGCGACACGGCAAGTACATGGCCTGCTGCATGATGTACCGCCAGGGACCTAGAGACAGTGAGAACTTGCCCTCTTGAGAGAGAGGTTTTGGATCGCTTCACGACGCAAAGGTGGTGACGTCGTGCCGAAGGATGTCAACGCGGCAGTTGCCACCATCAAGACGAAGCGCACCATCCAGTTCGTGGACTCTTCCAATCATCAGAGATGGTTTTCCCACAGGGTTTGTATACCGTTGCTGTGGTCTGTGCTGTGATTTTGTTGTTGATTTCTGATCATTTCATGAGTCTCGCGCCACAAATTCAACTATCTAGCCCCCAATCGAAGACTAGACCACCATCGAAAATCGAGGTTTCACCGAGGCCATGACGAATGCGATCCGTGATTAGGGTCTATTTATTTGCCTACCAGTATGAGGCTTTGTACAACTCCACTAAAATGCCGCAAACACCAAAGGTCTGAAACATCCCAGACATTCCCAGACCCTTTTCCAAGTCCTGAGAGCCCTGAGGCTAGTGCTTGGGGAGCTTTACAGCTGAGAAACCGTGGGTCGGCTAGGCTTTTGTGATCTGTGTCCGGGGTTCACCGTCAAGTAGGGCTTACGACGAACTTCCACGGCTTGGGCTCTTTCTCGTGCTTGGTGTACCTGTTTTTGGTCTGGACTGTCCTTGGTTCAGGTTGGAGTGCTTGGGGTTCAGGATTGATGGCCATGGGGTCTAGGGGCCAGGAACAGCTTTTGTTCAGAGCTTCAAGGAGCCCGAGCAGGCGGGGGCCAAGCGCAAGTCCCCCACCCTAAGGCAGGTTAGGGTCTTGAGGCGTCGCGGTTGAGGGCTTTGCCGTTCATGGATACTGTCCGAATCTCAGCGCTACAGCCCTGAACTCTGAACCATAGCCCTAGACCCTTAAGCCCCAAAGCCTGCAGCCCGAGCCCCAGAGCACCATAGCGCCAGAGCCCCAGAGCCCAGGACTGGTGCCCGACCGGCTTCAAGTGCGGTATCAACTACCAGCCACCCACAGTTGTCCCAGGCGGGTTCCGGATTGAGGGCAGAAGGGGGAGAATCTCCAGACCCGAATTTTCAGGAGTGTTTGAGGTGTATGCATTTTGAGTTCAAAGTTTGGAAGTTTGAGGCCTGCCAGGGCTCTGTCTCTGTGCCCCGGTGCCGTCTGTGCGGCCTCATTTGACAGCTTGGCTCCTTCTTGCCTGGCCGCCATCGATCCCTCACTCCTCAGTGCCTAGGTTCTGGCCACGGATATGTTTAGCTGAGTTTAGGGCGGAGGGTGGATGAGCAAACGGGGGGGGGGGGTTATTCGCAGCTTTTGGGATTGAAGGTGCGGGGTCTGTTCTTCACGCTCCCCTGCTGTTTGCATCGGGACAATGCTGTCGGCTCCTGCGTTGCCACCTGCGACTAGCCTAGCAACTACAAACGTTGTGTCAAAGACCGTCCACACATGTCCATACATCCTGAAACCACAGCCTCTGAACCTCCAGATCACCACCGCCAGCACCCTAAGCCAAAGCTCCCGAAGCCCCAGGCCGAGACTTTCAAGTTTCAGCCCCTCGAAGCCCCAAACCCAAACAGGAGGAGCCTCACTGGCAGCCGCTGTACCGAGAACCACCGCGAAGCCTGCCTAGGCTCCCGATTTTCTCATTTCTGAGGTGGAGACCTGGCCAAAGTCATGCGCGCCTGCTGCATGATCTCGAACTCCACTGCCATCGCGGCCTCGCGTCGGAAGTCGTCAGATTGTGAGGGTCTCGTGAGCCCCAGAATCTGAAGCTGCAAACCCTGAACAATTGACGATAATGCCCTAGGGCCCTAGGGAGTCAGGTCCTATGCAAACTCGAAGGCCCAAAGTACCAAAGCTCTGCATGCCTCTCCAAGGAAGTCTTCTCGCGCATCGACCACAAGTTCGACCTCATGTACTCGCCACTCGGTGGCCTTATTGCTCGAGGGATCGTTCCAGCAATAAGCGGCAAGCAAATTTGGGACATATTGGGATCATAGAGCTGTCTGCCCTGATGCGTACCCGGAGGTTTGGCCGTGGGGCGTCTTAGCGTGGTGTTTCCAGGGAGAGACGTGTGGGGTTTTGTGGGTTTCCTAAGGGCTTTAGGCTTGCAGTGTAGCATCTCGGGTTTGCTGTCAAGCAACCAGCCGGCAGAGATGCTTTGTGAAAGTGTGGGTTCGAGTGCATCGTGCTGTAGCTACTGTATTAGCTGTTCAAGCCCTGTAGTCAAGGTTTTCCTGCTTCGATCTCACCTAACTTCGGTACCCCCGAACCTGGTCCTTGAAGTCGGGGGGCTTTTGGGTTGGCGGGGAATGCCTGGGCCTTTCAGGAAGCGCGCCTTCGTGCACCACTACGTGGGCGAAGGACCTGGTGTTGATTTCTTGTTCGAGTCTAGGTTTTAGGATATTTGCGAAATCGACCTAAGGTCTTCTGTGCAGTTCCGAGCGCATTCCGGGTTGTGATAAGAAAGCACATGCTTGAAACGTTGCTGCTGCCATAACGGCTGAATGTGCACAGGTCCCCTAAGTCACCTAGGACTCTTTTGCTTGCGAGCTGATGAAAAGTGGAGAGTCCGCACGCCGCCTGGGATTTCGGTGATCTCAAGTGGTAGCGGAGCGATGGTCGGCTACAGGTACTTCCTGGAGGCCGAAGGGCGCACGACATCCGCGAGTACATGAGCCTGCGAAATGAGCGGTCCAGGGAAAGACGAGGAGCGACCTAAGCTGGAGCGGTTTGACGGCAGCCAACCAAGCAGTTACAGACGATGGCGTCGGAAAGCAGAAATTATGCTTTTAGCATTACCAACAACGTACACGAAGGATCGTTGGGGTGCCAAGCTTCTGGGGTACGTGTCTGGGGAGGCCGAAGAAGTGTGTGAAGGGCTTGCCTTGGAAAAGATAACGAAGGAAGATGGGCACAAGTTGATCTTCGAGGCCTTGGATGGTCGCTACCGGGAGTTGGAGAAAGAAGCGTTGCACAATCATCTGCATGAGTACTTCTACGAGTTGAAGATTCGGCCGGGTGAGTCATACAGGAACATGACAGTGAGGCTGGATACTTCGTACAGGCGCTTACAAGAGCACTCCGTGGAGCTACCAGAAGAGGTGCGTGGGTGGTTTTTGCTACAGAAGCTAAAGCTTGACCAGGCAGCACAGGCGTTGCTGCTGACTTCTACAAAGGGTTCTCTGAAGTACAGTGAGATCAACAAGGCCGTGCAAGCAATTTATCCTCAAGGGGTTGCGCCAAATGCGACTGGAAAGACTCGTGAGGTCTTTTCTGCAGAAGGAGATGAGACCGTGGAGTTTGAGGATGAGCGTGCAGAAGATGTCTATGAAGCCATTGCCGAGCAGTTTCAGCTGGCGGATGAGTATGAAGAGGAAGATGCACTGGATGTTTTCGAGACCTACAAGGACATCAGGCGACGAGTGCAGCAGAAGAAACTTGGTCGTGGTTACAAAGGACATCAGAGCGGTGATTGGAAGCTTTCAGGAACCTTGAAGGGCAAGTTGGAGCTTATGAAAAGCAAAACAAGATGCCATGTCTGCAAGGAGTTGGGCCACTGGAAGAGCGAATGCCCCAAACGGATGCAGTCCGGTGGAGGGCGGCAGACGCGAGCAGGGGGCTCAAATGAGGCGATGGTTGCAGATGACTTCAGCGAGGGTTACAAGCAAGTGGCGGAGGAACACTTCTTGGACATCGACGATATCGAGAAGTACGAAATCTTCTTGGCGGATCGCGGAGGTGACGTCGATGTGGTCGTGGCCAACAAGGATGAGGCGATCGACCAGGATGGAGAAGTGAAGGGGGACTTTGAGCATAGGTTGCAACAGTTTTGCACGAGCTCAGTTGAGAGCAACAGTGCCGATGTCAGCGAGGCATATATGGCTGAGTTTGCTGATTTAGCTGAGCATGGGGTTCCGGACACAGCGTGTCGTCGTACACTTGTAGGACAGGCTGTGCTCCAGAGGATGTCTGACACACTTAGAAAGTCAGGGCTGAAGGTGAGGTTGGTTCCGGAGTGTCATGAGTTCAAGTTTGGTAATGCGGGTATTCTTAGGTCTACCGTGTCAGCTCTGATCCCAGTGTGCTTTGGGGACAAGCAGCTTGCGATAAGAGCGGCTGTACTACCAGGCTCGGGTTCCGAGACACCACTTCTTCTTTCAAAGGAGTTGTTACGTGGTTTGCAGGTCAAATTAGATATGGGGAACGATGTTTCAGAGGTTGGTAAGTATGGGGTCAAGGTGAATCTTGAGGAGACTGAGAGGGGGCATTATGCGTTACCGCTGTTCACTGGCTTTCGTGGATGCACAGACAAGAAGCTGGTGATCGAGGACAAGCATGATAAGACGCAAGACGTGAATGCCGCAGAGTTTTCTCAGTGCTCCAAGAGGATTAGGTGCCTTGGTACAGAACGCGAAGGGTGCAGCCATGAGCTACGCCGGTCAGATGAACCAGGACGCGCCAATGGAGTCGTTCATGAGGACGCAGTTGATCAACGAGCTGCTGAGCGAGGTGTCGGCCACGGGTGCGCAGGACGAGCTGAGCGACCTGAGTGCCAAGATTCTGGACGAGGCTCCAGATCACAGCGACGACGAGCCCGTCGACGACGTACCCGGGATCTCCGGGCTGCTGGGCAATATCATCTTCAACGTGGGCAAGTTCCAGAAAGCAGGTCAGCTGGTGAACTTCAAGACTGCGTATACGACCGACAAGAAGTACACTTCGTGGGTGAGAAAGTTCATCAATGGGAAGTCCGATCCGAGCACAGGAAAGACGAACCACCCAACGATGACTCAGTATCGGCTCTACGTGGCTCTTCGAGATCAACGCAAGTCAATGAGGCTCAAGGGGATGAACGATGCTGGAGTGGTGATGACTCCAGCAAGCCAAGTGCCTCTTCTGCCAACACGGCCGAAGGCATCTTCGAGCAATCAGAGCGTGGCTGTGACAACGCAGGGAGCTGCACAGAGGCATGCCTTGCAAGAGATGGAAGCCGAGGACCAGTGGCTGCTCATGCCGGGCACAGGGCAATACCGAGCCGAGAGCAGTTCGGAGCGCCGTCGGCGCTTGATTCGGGAGCAGATCGAGAACTTGACTCATCAATTGGAGGTTCTCGAAGAGAACGAGGATCTTTGAGTCAAGAGTTTTCAGAAGCTGAGGAAAAGGTCTCAGCTGTTATGACCAGAGCTGAGAAGAAGCTGTGTAGGCGTGGGATGGAATCCTGCTCACCTGATGGATCAGTTGTCGAGGCTACGGGTTGCGGGTTGGATGTGTTAGTGTTGCAAGCTGGTTCTGGTGAGAAGGTGCTCACGGCAGTAGGGCTCAGCACAAAGGTTGCGTTTCAAGAGCTGGCTCCACAGGATGTTCGGAAGCCAGGCATTGTGGACGAGATGTTGCAAAAGTTGCGTGACCTGGATCCTCGTTCGTGTGCTAGTGGTGCGACCGCCTGATCACATGACCAAGACTAGAGGTAGCAAGTGTTTGGTGAGGACATATCATGCTAGACAACGTGCTGCCTTCACGAAGCTTGTGTCTGCATGTTGCGCTGAGCAAATGTGTGAGGGACGGCTGTTCTGCATTGAGGATGTGAATGACTGCATGAGCGACAGAGTGAGCCAGTGGATAAAGCAGAAAGATGACGAGAGGGTGTTGTGTGTGGAGAGACATGAGAGTGAGAGTTCATGGAGATTGTCCGTCAAGGAAGACTTGGATCAACCAAAGAGAACTGCAGGATCCTAGGTGTTTCATGAAGGATGTGGCCACAGGAGTTTTGAGGATGAAACAGGAAATCGCTGAGGTGCATGTTGCTCATTGTGTGTACAGCATTGAAACGCTGACGAGTCAGGATCCACAGGATGACAGGAGAATCATGACTCTGTTGAGAAGGTGTCATGAGAATTTAGGGCATCCGTCACCGGCTAGGCATCAAATGCTTCTTAGGGCTGCTCATGCGAGTGAGAGAGTGATGAAGCTTGCCAAGGGTCTTGAGTGTGAGACATGTGCTGAGGTGTCACGTCCCAAGTCACATCATGTCACGAAGCTGCGTAGGACTGAGTTCAATCAGCAGTTGTGTGTTGACACGTTCGGGCAAGAGGTGAGAGACCAGAGAATGCACTTCCTGAACATCGTTGATGAGGCGACAGGTTTTCAGATGTGTGTGCCACTTTGGAAAGGGATGCAGGCCAAGTTCGTGCGCAATGCTTACAGGAAAAACTGGAAACGATGGGCAGGTGCGCCCATTAGGCTGTTCAGTGATGGTGGCAAGGAGTTCGAGGGGGAATTTGAACACGGGTTGACTCTGGACGGAACATATGGGGACACCTCTGCGGCGTATTCGCCATGGCAACATGGGCTGGTGGAGAAACGTGGGGACATTTGGAAAACCGCTTATGCCAAGGCCCAGGTTGAGGTGAGACCACGAAACAAACAAGAGGTTCAGGAGCTGATCGATCAAGTGAATAATGCTGTGAACAGCATGACACGAAAGGATGGCTACAGTCCCAACCAGCATGTCTTCGGAAGAGATGTGAGAGTTCCTGGCATGTTGTGCAGTGATCATGACCCTGATCAATTCGTCACTTGTACAAGGCGAGTCAGTGTTTGAACGAAGGATGGCTTTGCGTACTGCAGCACGTAAGGCATTTCTGATGGCCGATGGTGAAGCAAGGGTTCGCAAGGCGATGGAACACAGGACGAGACCAGAGCGAGGACCTTTCCATGAAGGACAGCTGGTGTTCTTTTGGAGACGGAACAGATTCGAGAACAAGCATCATTGGCATGGGCCAGGGGTTGTGATAGGCAAAAGTGGCAACTCTAAGGTTTGGATTGCAAAAGGGACGAAGGTGTATCGTTGTTGTCCTGAGCAGTTGCGAACCTTGTCTCCAGATCAGGAGGCCGCCGTACGCTTGTTGCCTGCAGACATGGTGTATATTCGTGATAATGTGAGTGCGCGTGGTCCTGGAAATTATCACGACTTGAGTGCCTTGGAAAGACCCCCGGATGATCCTGCTGATGAGCCTGCGGAGTCATCACCAGTGCAGGGCGAAGAGGATTGTGGAGACAGGCGGCAGGAGTCGGATCACTTGCTGATGAGGACACAACCTCGGTGATTGATCATGGTTCGGATGCTCCTCAAGGTGAAGTTAGGGCACCGGAAGGGAGTCCAGGTGATGAGTCACCCAGTAAGAGAGCTCGGACACAAGGGGAACCATCAGTGTTGTCTCAAATGATGCGTGCCAATCTTGAGCTGCTTGATTCAGGAAGACCGGCGAGCTCAGGAACAGGGATGGAAGTAGATGCGTCTACCATACCAGTGCCTGAAAGCGATGAGCCTGACGAGGGCCTTGAAGTGATGACGACTGATGGTGATCATTGGATTGTTGATCATGGTAGACGGAAGCTTGTGCGTGTGCATGTCGTGGATAGAGATGGGTTGTTTGCACCAGTGCCAAAGTCGTTGCCTGTGTTGGACAAGGACGTGGAGGACAAGTGTACCGTCGTGGGATTTGATCGACACGGAACCAAAAGGGTCTGTCAATATGATCATCGCGTGGCGGAAGGTCGAAGCTTGTTTTCGCATGGCGTGTTGTGGACAGGTCGTACTGAGTTTGTCTTGAAGGAAGGTTGGTCTGGTGTCAAAGATATGTTGCACGAGTGCCATGAGGTCAAGGCCAAGAAAGGACGGAAGGAGGTCAGTGAGCGTGATATTGAGCAGCATCGACAAGAAGGTCTGGACAAGGCTAAGTTGAAGGAATGGAGAAAGCTTGTGGAAAGTGGTGCCATTCTAGTGCCTGAGGGAAAGGAGGCTGCTAAGATAAGACAAGGGCTTGATAGCAAGCAGATCCTGAAATCTCGCTTTGTTGTCACTGAAGCAGAGCCTCAGTCGAGCCCTTAAACTTGTGACCTGAAGGCTCGGTGGTGCATCAGAGGGTATCTGGACCCAGCCTTGATGGATCTGGATACAAGTGCTCCGACCTTAACCATGGAAGGGTTTGCCGTTGCGATGCAACTTATTGCATCAAAGCAGTGGCAGTTGAGCATTGCTGACGTTGAAGGTGCATTCCTGAGAGGTGATGCCTTGGATCCAAAAAGAGGCAGACTTTTCATTGAGCTTCCGCCTGGAGGAGTTCCAGGCATCCGATCAGGAAGCCTCGTTGAAGCTGTGAAGACGGTATACGGACTTGCAGATGCGCCCAAAGCTCGGTGGCAGTGCTTCAAAGGCAAGCTTGAGTCGTTGGGCATGAAGGTGTCACGGTTTGATCCTTGCTTGTTTTACTATTACCGCAACGGCGAGGTGGCAGGCACCATCGCTCTGCATGTCGATGACCTATGCGCCGGAGGAAACAAGGAGTTTGAGAACAACGTCCTGAAGCCTCTAAGAGAGATGTATCCTTTCAAACATTGGAAGGTGGGCAAGGGCGAGTTCCTAGGAAAGATGCTGGAACAACAAGCAGATGGGAGCATCAAGATCCAACAGTCTGAGTATGCCAGACAATTCAAGGGCCTGGACCTTTCACGACTTCGAAGACGAGAAAAGGGTGAGAAAGTCACAGATGAAGAGCGGACACAGATGAGAGGAATTCTTGGTGGCATCAACTGGTTGGTGTCGGGAAGTCGGCCTGACCTAGCTGCATGGTGCTCCTTGCTACAACAGCGTGTATGTGAGGCTACAGTTGCTGATCTTACGGACTTGAACAAGTTGGTTAGCCAAGCTCACGACAACAATGAGGCGCACGTGTGGATAAGGCATATTCCCTGGAAAGATGTGCAGTTCACGATGCTATCAGACGCATCGTGGGCGAATGCCATGGGCTGTTGCAGTCAAGCAGGCTATATGATCGCAGCCTGTGACAGCAACTTACCTTCAGGGAAGTGGGGCTTATTTTCAGTTCGCCGATGGAGGAGCTACAAGCAAAGCCGTCAGACGCATTCCACGCTGGGCGCAGAATTACTTTCACTATAACGTGGTTTAGCAGAAGCTCGATGGATGAGGTCAATGTGGTGTGAGGCTATACTGCAAGACTACAGCTTGCGCGACGACGAGAAGTGGAGCTGTAAAATCCCCATCACGGCAGTGATTCACTGTAAACCAGTATATGATCATGTGGGTGGTCCCTGCTTGGCTGTCAAGGATAAACGCGTGGCCATTGAAATGATGTTGGTGAAGGAAGATATCAGCAGGTACAACGTGTCCTTGAGATGGATGGCAACGAAGCAGATGATTGTGGACGTTCTTACAAAACGCGGAGCTCCTCTCAGTCTCTTTAAGAAGGTTATGAGGGAAGGTCGGTTTATTTTGGTTGAAAACGAAGAAGTGGCAGCGATTACCTCTAAAGGAGGGAAGTCGCAAACAGTTTCAAGCATGTCAATTCCGGGATGTGCGAAATCGACCTAAGGTCTTCTGTGCAGTTCCGAGCGCATTCCGGATTGTGATAAGAAAACACATGCTTGAAACGTTGCTGCTGCCATAACGGCTGAATGTGCACAGGTCCCCTAAGTCACCTAGGACTCTTTTGCTTGCGAGCTGATGTCAAGTGGAGAGTCCGCACGCCGCCTGGGATTTCGGTGATCTCAATATTGGTTTTCAAACCCTGAAACTCGCAAGCCTGCGAGCCTGAAGCCCTTAAGCCCTTAAGCCCTAATCCCCCAAGCCTGCAAGCCAAACCACCCCTCCCCAAAGCTCCAAAGCCTTGAGCTCGACCCCATCTACAAGCCCTCAGGCCCAGGCCCATACCAGGCAAAACGAAGCAAACACATCCAGTTTGCCACGATTTAAAACCCCTACAGAAATCGACAAATTTGATAAGCTAGTCCTACGCACCTCTCCAAGAACGCCAGGCCCTAAACCCAAAGCCCAGAAAAGCCCTAAACCCTGAACCTCAAACCCTACAGTAGCCCTTAAATGAACATAAGTCGCAGGAATGGAGGAGGGCGAATTCTCTGAGGCGCGCGAAGATCTGGCTGCCCTGGAGAAGGACTACGAGGAGGCTCACTCACCCTCATCGTCACTTTTACGCCTCACGCTCGCCTTCACCCTTCACTCCTCACATCATAGGCCCTATCCCTATAGAAGCATATTATCTTCGAGGAGACCCTGCATGGGGTGTAGATGCGTGTAGAATGTTATAGATCAGTTATGATGTCCCCTACACGCAGGATTTGGGGATTGCCGGGTTTCACGGTCTAGGGTTTGAGACTAAGGCTTCAGGGCTGAGGGGCTAGATTCAGGGTTTGTAGGCTTTAATGTAAGGGCTACAGGTTGCCGACACCGTCGTGGAAGTACCGATGCCAAGCTTCCAATGAATACCGGACATCACCTTGCGGAGCACTTTTGAGGTTCCGATTTTTGGGTTTGAAGTTGAACATTCAGATGTGGAGTAGGGTTTTCTCTTTTCAGTGCGCAAGGGTGCATCGTCTCAGATGGCAGGCCGCTTCCAGCCCTTAGGCCCTCAGACTCCTTCGGAGCCCCTGACATGATACCTCATGCCGGAAACTTGAATCCAAAGCCCCAGATGTAGGCCTTCCGGTAAGAGCTGTTGCTGTGCAGGTGGGCATCGAAACTGCGGCTTGGTCGGGGAAGCAGTGTTTCCTGTTTCGGCTGGTGCAGAATTTTCGAAAACCCCTGAGCCCCAAGGCCCAACGACCTCCACCTCCGGATTAGCATCGAAAGTGGAAATCCGGTCAGACTGAGGCTGAAGGGGAGGGTGAGGAAGAAGGTTACGGAGATGAGTTCTGAGGCAGCCGCCACGAAGCACTCAAAGAGCACCCTGTCAGAGTGCCATTAAGCACTCGGCAGTGTGATCACTAGGGTCTCCCCTTGTGTTTGCGGCGCTCTGTGAATTCCGACCTGCTGGAGTGCACGGCAAGAGAAATCGCATCTTGCTGGCACGTACAGCCTGCATGCCGAGAGAAAATGCTTCTTTCTCCAGCAAGCTGACTCCAAGCCTGCAGCTTGGACCTTGAATATTCGTAGCGTTTATCGTCGGGCCCAAACCTCTAAACACCTAAAGATATCTAAAGATCTACAGTGCCAAGCTTGGGCATCATCGGAGTGGAGCGGAGTTGCAGGTCTTTACATGGTTTTGAATGCGAGTCCAGAGTCCAGGTGTTAGAAGGATGCTCATATTTCTATTGCGAGTCCTTACGGGGGTTTCTGATTGAGGCCCCAACTCCTCGGCGAAGGGCTCGAAGCCCTCCGGAGACAAAGCAGGCGTGCTTCGGCCCGGGAGAACGGGACTTTCTGGTCCCGCTTTGTCGGAGGTTTGGGGGGCAAGGTGGCGGGGTCCCGCTGTTAAGGATCCTGCTATTTCTAGAATTTTGGATTTTGGGGTCTCTGCTCGGAAGCTCAGCTGCAGCGATGCTCAATAGAAGTTCAGCGGGAGCTATTCTGATTGGGGCTTGGCACCAGCTTCCCAGTGAAAAACTCTCACTAGCACATGGTATATAGAGGGCCCACATAGCCCTTCAGAAGCATTCTCTGCAGATATTTGAAGCTTCTCATTCGGACACCGGACCTCCAGGCATTTCTTGCTCTAGATCCCACCTTGAGCGTGTATGCATGCGAGTATGAAGCATGAAAGTGTGAAAGACCTGAACTCCTGCTAACCTGAGGCCTGAACTCGGAGCGTAGTGTTCACGGCTTAGGGTTTGAGGACCCCCCACAGACCCCCTGAACGCTAAACATCGCTAAACCCCGTCCACGCCTGTATGCGAGGCTTCACTTCCGGGGTTCAGGACTTTAGGCGTTTCGGGTGTCAAGGGCTTCGGGGTTCAGAGGCCTAGGGCGGCAGGGCTAGGGTGCTTCAAGGGGACTTTCAGATGAAGCCCTTGATCCGAAGTTTCGGCCAGCAAAGTGCACATGTCCTAAAGTGTCGAAAGCCGGGCACGGCAACGATCGCTTGCCTGCTTAGACCCTGAAGTCCTTAAAGCATGAATCCTAAACCCACAAACCTGAAAGCCTAAACCGACTCAAGTTCCCGAAGCCTCTTCCCTGGCCAGTTCCGACGGAGCTCTTCGTCGAGGACTCCTCCAGCATGCTCAGCTTTTTCCGGCCATTCTGCGGTTGCACCGTCATATCGGCTATCTGTTTGATGTGTAACGACTTGAAGACTTGAAAAGTCTTGGGCCTAGTAGAGAGATTAGGGATCGAGAGGATCTAGGGGTTAGAGCTTAGGGAAGTGGCTCGGAGGGAGCATATTGCTAGCTGATAAAATCTGTGTTTGTCCGAAAGACTGGGTGCCCGTCCATAGCGTTTTGGGTTTACAGTAGCACGATAATGCTGTCGGATAAGATCCCTCAAGCAAGAGCTGTCGCGCTCAGTTTTGCACCGCCCTGGCGGACCTGTGCCTTCAAGAGCCTAACGAGTTTTTGCCTGCCACAACACCGCGGACTCTGAATCTCCGCACTAAGTCCCTAACAGCCCACACCGGAAACCCCGAGCTTGAAACTTAACACGCACAGGCTCGGAGAGAAGAGCATCAACCCTTCAGTACAACCAAAACCCTCGTGATACCTCAACCGTCGCGAGGGATCCAAAAACCCGCGTTTGCAAACCCCCAATCCCCTACAAGGGCCCTACAACCCTACAACCCCAACCATAAATCACAAACCCAAGAAAACCCCTAAGAGCTAGGCGGTGGAGTGTCCCTTGGCGGAGAGGTCTTCATGGAGTTCACCAACGGCAGCGAGCCGCCTCAAGGGCAGGTGCTCCAGGCCTTCCGTCACGAGTTTTCACACGCACAGGTCCCAAAAAAAACAGACAGACAGATAGACAAATAGGCGGATAGATGCATAGACAGATAGGTAGATACGTAGATAGATACGTAGATAGATACGTAGATAGATACGTAGATAGACAGGAAGAAGGATAGAGCTAGATAGATAGATAGATAGATAGGTAGATAGGTAGATAGATAGATAGTTAGATAGATAAACAGATAGACCGATAGATAGACAGACAGACACACACACACACACGCGCGCGCGCGCGCGCAGAGACACACATACATGCATGCATGCGTGAGTACGTACATATGTTCATGCATCCGTCTATCCATCCACCATCGATGCATCCATCCATCCAGTCCATCCATCCATCTACCCATCCATCCATGCATCCATACATACAGGCAGGCAGGCAGGGAGGCAGGCAGGCAGGCAGGCAGGTAGGCAGGCACAAACACGTGCGGAGACACACACACACACACCCGCACACACCCGCACAC